AAAAAAAAAAAAAAAAACCCAAAATGCCCAAACATAAATATTTCAACACATTTCTGCCTTAACACAAATTTTAAATACGTAAATTTCAAAATAAAAGAAAAATAAACCTCAAATAGGTTAAGCATTATATTTCATAAATAAGAGTCCTCTACATTTTATGAATTCAGTGATAAATACACCAAGAAATATTTCATTGACTTAAAACAACCGTATCTGGCTGGAAAATTTTCAGTTACAGATAAACGGCACGAAAGCATAAGATAATCAATACAACTATGAAAACTGTTTTTTAAAAAGGTCAGTCATATTTTGTTTACTTAAAATACTAAGCTTAATCATGACCTATCTAAACCTTATCATTGCTCATTGTATAAAATTAGCACTGCACTTGCAAACATAAGCAGAATCTAGACTTATCAAACATATGGTGAGACTTTACCAGCTTCTGAAAAATAAGAATATAGGATTAAAATGTTTTAGTTTGGAAACAAAACCCACCGTTACTGCTCAAGGCTTTTCATCAAAATTTTGATCAGAAAGGAGACCTGTTTTAAAATTTTAAAGAGCCCAGCAACTAAACCTTTGAAATGAACTGAAATGGTTCGAATATAAGTACTCCCACTTCAGAAGCTACAGCTAAAGGCAAATACCTAAACAGCAAAAAGGGAAAAAGTGTCAGCGAATCTCCAAACTACTAGAAAGTACGCAAAAGCACACGCACAGACTGGTTTGCCAGCTAACTTTTCCAGCCCTGTACCAGACAGACATCCAAACAAAGTTGACGATAGAACCAACTGTGAGCTTTCCCTATACCTGGATGATAATCTGAAATTTTTTGCTGTTGCTAATAGAAGCCCCTTATAATTGGAAGCAGCGAACTGACAGGTGAACAAATTCCCTAACAGGGCAGTTAAGAGGTTGTGAAAACACTGTTCTATGCCTGAACGAGTTACGACTACTCTGTAACAAGTCCAAGGTAATTAACGCACACGCTCTTCAGCGCAATTCCTCAAGCAGAGATGAGATTAGGGGAACAACAGGCTTCCCCTAGAGCCACATACCATTTTACAACAGCCGTCTCCCTCACAACAGAAAAACAGACATTCTCATCCAAAGTCTTTCCGCCAGTTCTCCCAGTGCGGCGAAGAGAAGCGGGCGGCAGCCACCGTACCGAGAGAAGCCGGCAACAGCCCCGCCGCGCGGCCGCCACGCCTTCCTCCAGCCGCCGCTGGGGACGCGGCGCGGCGGATCACATTTCTCCTCCCCAACAATCACACGCACGCACGTCCCCAGAGTTGACACCCTGCAAACCCGCCGCTCCGCGACGCTGGGGACGGGGCCACAAAGCCTGGGACGCGGCCATCGGCTGGGGTGCTCAAGCTGCGTGCGTGCCCGTGTTTGTGTTTGTTCCCCTTAATGAAAGAAAAGAGGTCTCCGTAGTTACGGCCTAGGGCTGCGGAGGGGAGAAGAGAGGCTCCCCGTGGGACTAAACAAAACTTTGGTTGCTGGGAAGAGCCGTTGCGCAACCTCGGCGGGGGGAGGCCGAGGCCCCCGGGCCCCGGCCAAGCGCGGCTTCCCGGAGGCTGCGGCCCCCGCGTCCGGCAGCCCAGGGCCTGGCGTGGCGCCGGCTTCCAGGGAGCGGCCCAAACCCGGCCACACCGCGGAGGCTGTGGCGGAAACTGGGAGCACGAGAGCGCGGAGGATAAGGATGGGGCACGGGACGTGCGACGAGTGTGGACCGCTCCGGAGGGGTTGGGTCAGGTTTGGGGTCTGCTGGACACCTGGCCGCGGAGTCCGCGGCCGGAGCCGGTCCCCCCACCCAGGGGTGGCAGCGCCCCTCGCTCGACTCCTTACCTTCCTAGAGGCCCGCGCTCTCTCCTCTTCGGGCGGCCGCAGCCCTGAGCATGTCCGGGGTGGGGCGCAGGGCCGTGCCGGGGACAGGGAGCCAGGCGCTTCAGCAGGCGGCACCACCCAGCCCAGGCTCAGCCCCTCTCCGCGGCCGCTGCCATCTTGTCCTGGCGGCTGAGAGGAAACGGCGAAACACCCTCCCCCGACCGCTGCTGCTGCTACTGCTGCTCTGGCTGCTAAGCGCCGGGCCCGTCTCCCTCATCTTCCTTCCCGGGGATTTGGGGTGGGGACGGCTCGGCTGGGGTGAGGGGTAGTGGGAGGCCAGCCGGCCTCCAGCTACTGGGGCCTACGGGCGACGCAGGGTGCGGGGCCCGCGGCGGTTGGGGCCCATTCCTGACGCCCCGGCCGGGACCGGAGAAGGAAGACAGCCGGAGTGCCGACGACGGCGGGGCCCGCGGCTTGATCTCCTCAGGTCGCCGCGATGCCGGCAGTCGTCACTGAGGCAGCTGCCGCCAGCCGCCCCAGCCTCCGGCCCCTCCTCCGCGCCCGCAGGCCTCGGCCACCGCCTCCGCAGCGCCACCGCCCGCCTGGCAGCGCTGCGCGCCCAGCCCGAGCGGCTCCGCTCCGCTCCGGTCGCGGCGCCTCCGTGAAGCCCCTCCCCGGGGTCCGCCCGCCAGTCCGCAACCGCGCCCTTGTCGCCCGGAGCTCGCCTGGCTGCCCGTCCGGCCCCGACCCGGAGTCCCGCACGCCAAGCCTCCAGCCAAATAGGCATCTGTCAGCCCCACTCTACCGTTCTGAACCTCACTCCATGCCCCCTCCGCCAGAAATACACATTTAAAAAAAGATCCCAGTACCCAAAGAAAGGATTCAGATGCGGAAGCAGGATTTTACAGGCCTTTCGAGATCCCAGAATCATAATTAAGGATCTGTTTCTCGGCACTTGGTCGTTAAGGGTCCAAAAATAAGGAAAGGGAAAATGCTTAGTCAAATGAACTACCTCAGTCTAAAATAGGTTCTGCCCGCTTCCCTGTTGCAAAGAGTGAAGAGAATTGTAAAGCCAGGTTAAAGGACAGGGGGAAAGTCCTCCTGGAAATTTTTCAAGAGCATCTCTACTGTCCGAAACCCGGTAATTGTGAAGTTCTCCCACCTCCACATTGGTAATTCTCCAGTAAACTAGTCGGTTCAACCCCCAAAGACTAGTTTCCTTCCTCCTGGAGATTAGGAAATCAACAGAATGGCCCGTTTCAACTCACGTAATCGTGAAACCATGGAATTTTAGGAATGAAAGAACCTTTGCGATCCTTGGTCCCAACTCTTATTCAGGAGTTCAAAGAAGTTTAGGTGACATGACCAAGGTTATGCAGCAAAGCCCGTGTCTCCACCCCTTCTTTCTTTCTTATTTTTCCCTAGGAAACAAATGGCCTTGTAATACCTCACATTGAGTTAATTTTCTTTAATACCCGTTTCCTCAGGTTCCCTTTGTTCCGAATCAATGTCTAACCTTTTGGGAAACAAACACCTTTCTCTCTGGAATGGAAGTGTCCTTTCTGTTTCCTTCATAATCTTCACTAGGAAGATTGAATTTACCACAGATGTATTTATCCCCAGACATTTTCTATTGCAGTAACTGGGGCAGGGCAAAGGGAGTGGCAAATTGCTGCATGTATAATAAGACACATTTAATCTTTGCTGCTCTTCAAACCGGGAAGAGCATTTTAGAGAAAGCGTTTCAGAGAGGAAGGAGGCCGGGTGCGGTGGCCCGCACCTGTCATCCCAGCACTTTGGGAGGCCGAGGCAGGCGGACCACCTGAGGTCAGGAGTTTGAGACAAGCCTGGCCAACATAGTGAAACCCGGTCTCTACTAAAAATGCAAAAATTAGCTGGGCATGGTGGCGGGCACCTATAGTCCCAGCTACTCTGGAAGCTGTGGCATGAGAATCGCTTGAACCCGGGAGGCGGAGGTTGCACGAGGATCGCTTGAACCCGGGTGGCTGAGGTTGCAGCGAGCCGAGATCGTGCCACTGCACTCCAACCTGGACGACAGAGTGAGATTACTCCTCGAAAATTAAAAGAGAGAGGATAGTATGCCCTGAGGCCACTGGAAATAACACTTTTAAATGACAGTTATTTTCAAATTACGGAGGATAACCAGTTGAAAAGTCTTCCAATATAGAAGAACAAAACAATGGCTGGCTTTCAGAGAGATGGCTGCCTATGCCATTCCTTTTCTCTATTTCGTTACTTATTATTATTATTTTTTTTAAGAAATAGTCAAAAGAACCAAAGAGGATAAAATCATTACTCAAAGGAGAAAGTAACAATAGTAGAAAAATCTATCAGGAGGAACAGGGAAACTATTCCACTAGAACTTCAAATTTTCAGAATTTTTGCAGACGAAGCCATCTCTAATGGAAGGCTTCCATTGCCTGTATTTGTGGCATTGCTACATCTATGCAGAGGCAGAAATCAGGAACAAGGATTAATTTTCCTTTCTATCACCTGTATGTTAAAATTTATTTTTTAGAGGCAAGATCTTACTCTATCACCCAGGCTGGAGTGTGGTGGCGAAATCACGGCTCACTGCAGCCTGGAACTCCTTAGCTCAAGTGATTCCCCCACCTCAGCTTCCCAAAGTGCTGGGATTACAGGTGTGAGCTATCACACCCTCTCCCTAACCTGAATTTTTGAGAGATTTTAGCGCTACTCACTACACTATGCATTCTAGGAGGGGATTCACTCACCTTTTTGATGTTGTTTTTGTTTTGTTTTAGACGGAATCTCGCTCTGACGCCAGATTAGACTGAAGTGGCACCATCTCGGCTCACTGCAGCCTCCGCCTCCTGGGTTCAAGCAACTCTACTGCCTCAGCCTCTCGAGTAGCTGGGACTTCAGGAGCGCGCCACCACGCCCGGCTAATTTTTGTATTTTTAATAGAGACCGGGTTTCACCATGTTGGCCAAGATGATCTCAATCTCTTGACCTCATGATCTGCCCACCTCGGCCTCCCAAAGTGCTAGGATTACAGGCGTGAGCCAGCGGCGCCCGGTATCATCTTTTTTTTTTTTT